GACGCATTTGCTGCGGCACGCTGGTGCAAGCGTCGCCCCTTGGGAGCACGATGTAGTGCGGTGGGTGAGTCGTAGTGGGAAAACTCTTTTTGAGGAGATGTCTCCTGGGTACTTACATGGGAGGAAGGGAGAAGGCCGGGGTAGTCGGCTATAATGGCCACTTCCATGCCATCATAGCTCGTCTTATAAAAGACTCCATCCTGAAAATCTACAAATATGTCCAAATCCTCTTCGCATCCAGGATCAAGGTCTCGATTATGGTCCTCCGGCTGCAGAGCGGGGTTGTAGGTCCCCGCGACGACTTTTCTCCATTCCTGTTAAGGGTAGTCGAATTAAGTTTGACTAAAAAGCATAGTTAAGGAAAAAATGTCAATTAAGGCCTATAATCAAAGACTCACCCAGTCAATGGGGGTATACATGGAGAAACCTTCTCGGCACTTCAGGCGAGTGAAATCTTCTTTTTCCCCTTTGAAAAGGTCAGCAACATGGCGGCCAGCGCGGCGAAATTAGCTGGACCCTTGCGCCCACAATGTGAGGCGTCGTCCTCCCCGTTGTAATGCCACATGGGAAGCCCCGTGGATTGAAGCGGCTGAACGCATCGCGTTATTGGAATCGCCATTACCTCGACTATAGTTAGTCCGAAGTGGGCAAGTATTTTGATCTTGTTCACTAGCCTCTTAATCTCCGCACTATCTTCTTCTTCATAGCTTCGGGGACGCCAGGTGGCGCACTTCTTTAAAGGGGCGGAGGAAAATTCGGCAAGACCTTGACGGATTCGGTCCAGAAGGACAACATCTTCGATATAGAACCACTCTGAGAGCCACTCTTCGGATGCCTTCTTCGGAGTGCCGGACAGGTATCCTATTCCGCCTATACTCCATACTTCGGCGCCGCCCACCACGAATATGGATCCCTTCTGGGAGCGAGGGATGAGCCAGAAATATTTCCTCCATATATTGAAATGGGCCTCGCAGCCTAGAAACAACTCGCAAAGAGAAACAAAGCCCGTGATGTGTAGAATGGAGCCCGGCGTGAGGTTGTGCAGTTGGAGACAGTAATACTACAGAAGTCCTCTGAGGAAAGGGTAGATTGGAAATCCCATGCCCCTCAGTAAGAAGGAAACGAAGCACACCCGCTCCCCTTTATTGGGATTAGGGAATTTCTCCGCTAGGGCTTAACCATTGAAGGTAGTTAATCCCTCCCGAACGGGGACTATATCCGATGGAGGGAGATATCCCTGCGCCTGAAGCTTGGTCAATTGGGCATGGGCACTGAGCAACTCTCCCAGTCGCCTTCTTGAGGGCCTTGGGACGCAAGGAAGAACAAGGAGCGTTGGCCATCTTTGGTTGGTTTCCTATGGCAAGCTCTAAGGATTTTGGTCTGGTGGAGAATGGAATCTAAGATTCAATCTCTTTAAATAAGCGCCTTCCCTGCATGGGCCAAGGGGTTATTTGTAGAAGTACTTAAACCGTTCGTATTCGTCTGACACGTGGAAGTCGAGGCAATGGCGGCACGGCAGCTGAAGAGTACAATATTTAATGCAAAGGCCAAACTATATGGAGCACAATGGGGAACTTACCTTGCAAAGCCGAAGACATGAAGCCGGATACAACATCGTCATTGAAGGCAAGTTCGGGGGCTACTGAGGGAGTCCTGGATTATGGAGTCCTCGGAGAGCCGGCCTATGTGACATGGGCCGGACTGACGGGCCGTGAAGATACAGAACCAAGGCCTTCTGCCGTGTCCGGATGGGACTCTCCTTTGCGTTGACGGCAAGCTTGGCGTCCGGATGTGTAGTTTCCTTCCTCTGTAAACCGACTTTATACAACCCTAGTCCCCTCCAGTGAGGGTTTAGTCCTTAGGGGCGATCACAATCAAACAGGCTAGAAATCTAGGCTTTAGCCATTACGATCTCGAGGTAGATCAACTCTTGTAACCCCTATACTCATCAAAGTCAATCAAGCAGGAAGTAGGGTATTACATCCATTAAGAGGGCCTGAACCTGCGTAAACATCGTGTCCTCTGCCTCCTTGTTACCTTCGATCCTTATACGCATAGTTCGGGACCCCCTACCCGAGATCTGCCGGTTTTGACACCGACTGCGGCGACTGCGGATCCAACCCTGATCGGATCCGCCGTGGGGTGGCCTTCAGCCGACCGGCGGCGCGTGGAGGGACTGGTGAGGAGATGTCAGATCTCCGCCGATTTACCGACATCGGCGTTCGTCTTCGTGGCAAGACTCCGCTCGGGTCCAGCCAACCGCCAGATCGGGATGACGTGGCTTTCGGTGAAAATCTTTCCTGACTGCAGTCATGGCGGACGATGGCGGCGTCTCGGATGTCATTCCCTTCTCGAGGCATCGTTGTTGCGGGTCACGTCAACCTGATCGGAAGGTTTCAGGGGAAACCCTAGGTCTGGATCTACCAGATCGGACGATGGCAACGTTTCGATGTCGTTCTCCCTCCCGGGGGCATCATTTTGGAGCAAGTGTTGGCTGGAGGGGACAAGAGGAGGAGCGGCGTGATATCTGACACGTCGACAATGGCGGGTCTCAGCGGCACGGAGCAGCGGGGTCTCGCTGGTGGGCGTGTGATGATGGACGAGCGCAGGATGGTGGCGTTGTCTGGCGTCGTGGTGGCATCGACGGCAGCTAGACCGGGCAAGGTACATGCAGCAGTACAACACTAAAGATGGATTGGTGGTAGATGGCTGCGGCGGCCTCATACCCGGCAGGCATCCTGCTTGAGGAGCACGCCAGACTGGTCAGTGTCCATACCCGGCAGGCGTCCTGGTTGGGACCTCAGGTCTTAAATGTTAGGTTTGACAGCGAGGTCTGTTTGGTATTAGGCCTAGACTATCAGCGCCCTTCATCAACTGGATAGGAGTAGCAACATATGTTGTTTAGACGGTGGCTTTAGTCTTACTGTTGTATGACTTTGTAAGGTCTTGTGTTAATAATTAATAAAAATGCCGTATGCATCGTCTAGATGCAGACGCCGGGGGTCTTCCTCTTTTTATAAAAAAAATATATAAAGTTGAGACACTTATTTTGAACGAAGATATATATTTGATTAACCGGAAATAATTCGGTCGCCTCACCTCACACAGTTTCATATTGCCAAGCTTCTGGTTCGCATCTCTCTTACACCAGCCGAGCCCTCAAACAAGTCACCGAACAGACGCAGAGTAGCAGCTGCAGCAGCGTCGCCGCTAACTCAAAAACCCTAGCGCGCGACCGCGGCGGACGGACGGTGGTGCTCCATCACAGCTTCTGCTCCACTCCAAGCTTCAGATCTCCAGACGGCAACCGTACGCCGGCCTCTCCTCCCCTCAGAAGAGAAGGCAACATCTGAAACACTTTATCTCCAGGTAATTGCTCTCCATCTTCTCTTATATGCATGTTATAGATGGTTAATCATCACAGTAACAGCGTCGTGCACGTCTACCATCAATTCGATGCCAACTTTTCATAGTTAATTAGTGATCTACCTCTCGGTCTAGTAGAAATTCTTAGCAGGGGTCGCAAATAAAAAGCTACTCCCTCCGTCCCAAAATATAAGAACGTTTTAACGTAAAACGTTCTTACATTTTGGGATGGAGGGAGTAATTGTGTTTGGTTTACGAACGCGATATGCTTTCTCTGTTTCATAGCACTATATTGAGAATTGTTAGTATCTCATAGTAGTACATATGGCCATGCTTCGAGGAAATAAGAGTTAGCCCAGTAACGGATTAAGTTCATCTGGGCATCAAAATCAAATTGTCTAGCTATAGCCTAGTAATTAATTAATCGGTTGAGGGTCCGTTTTTTGGAAGGCAAAGTTGAATGGGTTGCCCGGCCAATAAACTTGGATGGGTTGGGAATTTGGGATTAGTTTGAAGCTTGTGTGGATAGCCACTTGCTTGCTTGGCTGGATAAGCTAGCTAGACTAATCCGTTTCTTGTTTGGCTGTCACTTGTCAGCATATGGTGGTTGAGATTAGCTCGTCTTCCGTAGGGGTCAAAAAAGATTGTAACTATGTTGCTTGTAATTGTTAATTCTGCTACTTGCAATAATTAATTAATTAGGGCGTGTTTGGCTTTGGCTATAAGCTCTGGCACCAATACAGTAATGACAAGGGGCAGCGAAGGCCGAGCATCTTTTGTCGTTGGTGCGTCTCGATCATTTGCACAGGTCAAAAGGCGTGTTTGGCTTTGGCTACAAGCTCTGGCACCAATACAGCAATGACAAGGGGCAGCGAAGGCGGAGCATCTTTTGTTGTTTGTGCATCTCGATCATTTCCATAGGTCAAAAAGTCTTCCCATCAAATCTGATAATATTTCCCTCGCGATGCTCGTTGTCAAAGTCGGAGCTGTCGGTTGTTTGTGCGTGTGACCATCTGTTGGCATGTGCCGTCTTGGCTTGTGCAGCTGTTCTACAGCTCTGTGTTCCATACCGGTGGCCAGGCTGACCGGGGATGCCCATTTTGTGGGCTGGATTGTGTCAGTTTTAGCCCGGTTTTCCATCAATTAACCGGGTAATTCTCCTTCTTCTTAATCAATAATAAAATGGCAAGTCTTTTGCCTCGTTTTGAAAAAAAAATCTGATAATATAGTGTAAGAGATTGATTGACTAAGAAACAAGAGACCAGTTACTTCACAAGTATGGGTCCATTGTTGGTTTCACACTTTCATTGCATAATACATAGTCCGGTCAGTGCCAATCGATCGATCATGTATGTATGTCTTAATTTCCTGACCTGGGCGCTCCATCCTTGTAATTAGTCTTTGAGTCATGCATCGAGGGTAAAAAGAACTAGCCTATGTAAAGTTCACTGTTTGTCTCTTTACAACAGAATATGCATCTCTCTTCTATAAATATATATATGTGTATTTCACGATTACTTAATCAATTGGGTAAATTTGAAGTTAATTTGATCGAGCCTCACAAATAATGCTCGTGCTCAAGTTTCAAGCTAGGGCAAGTGAGTTGGTATATAACAGGCCCGGGTAACCAACTAATGGATCTCCGAGTTAGTCTAACCCAAATTGAGCTGGAGTGCATGCTAGTTGATGATGACGCAGAGCCCAAGGCCTTGCCGTTCCCACTATTGGAGAAAATAACAGATGGTTTTTCTGATAAGCTGGAAATTGGAAGAGGTGGCTTTGCGGTGGTTTATAAGGTATGCAAAAACGCTCTCATGATGCCCGCACTCTGACTCTGATTTGATCAAAGTTTATCCGAAATGATAACTCAAAGTTTATTCTTGCACGGTCTCACTGCTGCAGGCAATGCTTGATAATGGCATTATCGCTGTAAAGAGGATGTCCAATACATACATGTATGAGAAAGAATTCCACCGAGAGGTGGAATGTCTAATGAAGGTGAAGCACAAAAACCTTGTGCGATTTCTCGGATATTGTGCTGACACCCAAGGGAATATGGGAAGCTACAACGGGAAAATGGTTATGGCAGATGTGCAACAAAGATTGCTCTGCTTTGAGTATCTACCTAAAGGAAGTCTTGATGATTATATTACAGGTAGGTTCATGTTTTCGTTTAATTTTCTTCATGGAATATTACTTGGTTGGTTCAACCTACTCAAGCATATAGCTGAAATAATCTACTGTGTAATATGCTATCTTGCATTCAGAAATCAAGGAAGTGTCTTAAATATATACTAAATTAAATCCCATTTCTCATCTCCCTTTTGTAGATTCTTTTGGAGAATTTGAATGGAGAAAGTGATACCAAGTAAGAAAAGGGATATGCGAAGGGCTAAATTATCTTCACCAAAACAATATCATGCACTTAGACCTAAAACCCGGAAATATATTATTGGATGAAGATGTGATGCCGAAAATTACTGATTTTGGACTATCAAGGTGTTTTGAGGAAGGCCAGACACGAGTCATTACTGAAAATGTGGGCGGAACGATGTAAGCCAACTTAAGCCTCTTGGAAGCTAAATCTATAAAAAAAATCGCTATAATGTAATTTTATATTGCAATCGCTCAACATATTACTAATTGACCAGACTATATGTCTTTGCAGAGGATATTTGGCACCAGAATTCCATACTGGTGAAATCACACACAAATTTGACTTGTACAGTCTTGGTGTTATAGTTATGGAGATGTTGACCGGAAAGAAGGGGTATCAAAGTATTGAAGATGTAAGAACAATTTCTATATGTCACCTTTCGAAGTCAAATTTTAATATAATGATTTTACAAATTAAATTTCAGTTTCCATTAAAAAAGGTTGATCCATTTCATAATGTACTCTTGATTGCAATTATCTAGGTACGTGAAAGTTGGAGTTATAGGTCAGACATATTGTGGTGGGAACAAATACGAGTATGCGCTGAGATTGGGATCGAGTGCACTGACTTAAACCCAGCCAAGAGGCCAGAAAGTATGAAGCATATAATTGATAGGCTTTTAGCAGCAGAAAGTAGTACTCAGGTAATCCCAACAGGTGGTCCCACCAGCAAGCTTATTGTCCTTCACCCATCAGCGCTTCGCTTCCCCTTTGAGATCAACAAGGTCATCACGTGCCCGCTTGAGCTAACAAATAACACCGATAAACACGTTGCGTTTAGGCTAAAGGACAAGAGTGGGGAGTCCTCCTTCCTAAGGCTGCCATTGTATGGTATTGTGCCACCTAACACCCCTTATACTCTCATTGTGACAACACAAGAGATAGAAGAGCTACCACGAAAGTGGATCATAGATGTGATCCTTGACGGTGCTACATTAATATTGGGGGATGGTGAGCATAAAAAGACTTTCCACAGCCAGCCAGACAAGTATTTTCAGGAGATGAGGAATGCACTGCAAGAGGTGGAACTAAAAGCACTTTATACTCTACCGCGACACATCACAACATTGTCGTCTAAGGTATAAGATATTACTATATCAGTATAAATATGACGAACTAGCTAGGTGACCTCCAAATTTTGCTCGGTTAGTTTTGTCAGTTGTTGTATGTATGTTCTTGCGCTATATTATGTTAACACTGAGTTATTAAAAGGCCATCCGTATATGTTGAAAACTATACATCTAATAAAAATGCACCATTCAAAAAAGATTATTTGCAATTATTTCTTACTCACTTACATGAAGATTGTTAGTTAATTCAGTTCATCGTCGCATTATTAGTGACATGTCTTTCAAAAAATATACATTTTTTTGCAAATTACATCTTGAGGGAACATTATTGGACTACCATTTTTCAATCAAGGGATTAGGTGAAAAAGCAATCAAATATGAGAATCAATTTCCGCAATTGTTTTTAGCGCAAATAATATTGGCCATTCTTTCTCTATTTCTTTACCAATATATATTATAAAATAGGGAAAAGTATATTTTTCGTCCCTCAACTCTTCTGAAAATTTAGAAACGGTCCCTCAACTCCAAAACCAGCAAAACTTAGTCCCTCAATTTTCAAAACCAGATAAGTTTAGTCCCTCGTGCCACTTCAGGTGGTTTTCGTACATGGTGAAACAGCCCGAAGCGGCATGAGGGACTAAACTTATCCAGTTTGGAGTTCAGGGACCATTTCTAAACTTCCGAAAGAGTTGAGGGATGAAAAATATACTTATCCTTATAAAATATGGATAGAGAAAGGTTGGTCTCACTTAAATTGAAAGGTCGATACTCTAGTCTAATATTACTATTCCCCTTTTCTATTGTTTTCACTTGTGTTTTGTGGTGGCGGTTCTCGAATGCACTTACACATGGTCATATATTCCTCAGCCAATCCCGCCCACTATCAAGGTGTGAATTCTATCTTCTCTTTGTGGGGTTACAATGTATGTGCAGTAAAACTTTAAGGTGGTCCTCAGCCAGATGTTAATCATAGCCTTATTGAATCAGATAATATGCAAGGTAAAAGGGCTCGACCTGTATTCCTTGGACATAAACCAGGCCAAGCAATGGTGAGTGGATTCTTTGTACAGCGAAAATATATATGCACATTGTTGATTATTCATGTGACACCTCTATTTGTGGCAAGATCTTTGGTGAAAATTTTGACTGATATTTCAAAATGAGAAGAAGCAACGGTCTATACTGTTATTTAGCTCATGAATCAATGGGTCCCTGGTTAGTCCATGGTTTCATTTGGCATGGACCTCTATTTTGCGACTGAGCACATGAACGAAATTTGCCCTTTGTTACGTGTAAGCATATGGTATACTGCTCATATCTGATTCGTGCTGAATTAGTTCGCTATTTTTTATATATGTGGCAGGATAATAATAGGAGAAGACAGTGGACATGTTCGCATTTGGGATTATAAGACACAGGCAAGTAAAGTAGTGTTTTTTTTTCACTAAAGACTCAATTGTTGCCTCTCGGCATGGATATATACAATGCATGCTTTGTTCACTCACCATTGACTAACATAGTAATTTCCATGGCAGAGAAAAGTGGATTCGCTTAAAGTCTCAGCGAGCTATGGCATGACTTCTGACTTCTGTTAACACTTCCATTCATCATGCAAGGTGCCATGCTAATGAATTAATCTCTTGCCTCACTGCAGTTTCGTCCATTAAATTTATTGCAAGAAAGCAATGGATTCTTGCTGGGACACATAGTGGTAACGTTCATGTGTACAACTATGAAACAATGCACAAGATCACTACTTTCAGAGTTGCTGTCGGTGGACATGCAGAAGTCGTGTCACTGGCCGTTCATCCAACCCAGCCGTATTTGCTGTCAGCGGGTACACACCTGAAGCTTTGGGACTGGGACAAGGGTTGGGAGTGCGTACAGACATTTGAGTGCCAATTTCTTGAGAAAGTATGTCATGTCGCATTTAACCGAAATGACACCATTGCTAGTGCTACATCAGGTTTAGCCGGAGGTTTCGCTGTGAAGGTATGGCTCTCAATTATAGCATGATGAAGACAAGTGTTGCTACTACACCTTTTTCTTTGATTATGATCTCCTATATATGATTTCTTTGAGGCCGGGGTTTTCCCCCCTTTTCAAAAAAAAAAATATGATTACTGTGCAGGTTTGGAGTCTTGATTCTCCCAAATCCAACTATACATTGTCTGGGCACTCGGACAAGGTGAACTGCTTGGATTTCTTCACATGCCACGATCAAGAGTTTTTGGTTACAGGTTCAGATGATGAGACTGCCAAGGTCTACCATTCTCATGGAAAACTTGCTAATACAGTACGTGTACACATAGCAGTTCTCATAATTCATGCTTTGATTATTATTTTTCCTGAATCAGATATGGTATTTGCATAAGAAGATATGTGCATATACACTTGAAGCTTTCGCGTCTCCAGTTACGTCTGTCCTGTACCAACCCGATATTCAGACTCTCATTACAGGTTCAAAAGATAGTGCAATTTATTTGTGGTGCACTACAAATTGCAGGTAATTTGAAGTAGTAACTATAGCTGGTATCCCTATGAAGGATGGTTTTGAATTTCAGTTTCAGAAATATTTCAGTCATTACCGAAATCAGTGGATTTCAGTGAAATTCAGTGATTTTGGTTTTCATTTCGGCCAAATGATCGAAATTTCCACTTGAATTTGACTGAGATCCGATCAAATATTTTGAAAACTCACAAAATAATTTATAACTAATTTGAATTTATGTGTACTACCGAAATTGCTGAAATATTTTGACCGAAAGGCAATTATTTTAGCATGTACCAAAATTAATGAATTTTCTGAAATTTCACTGAAATTACACTGAAAGTGAGAACCATTTAGTCAACCATTTGGAGTTTGTAAGTAAACTATCGGTGTTGCACTAAATGCACTCGATCATTCATGGTTTTCCATTCTACTTGCTGATAAAAAAAATCCCATAGGATATATTCACGCCCCCCCACACTTACAAGAATCATCAACATTGGTTGTGTTGTCTACCATCTGGCATGTGCGATGGGAAGGTATATTTTCTTCTTTTCTTTTACTGCATAAGAGCGTATATTTCTTAGCTGTACAGCCATGCTTCCCATTTTTTATGCCAGACTTATCATGTTATATGGGTATATACCTATTATTGTCAGGGTTGTAATTGGAAAAAAAAAGAAGTAGCAATTATGGATATCGATAATGTGAATTATCAAGAGCAATCAACGGATTGCAGTGAGGAGCAGTTAACTGCAGATACGAGACAATGTGATGGAAACACAGCGTCTAAGGTGAGTAAATTAGTTTTATTTAGACAGAAGTGAGTTAATCAATCAAATGCTCTCTATTGCACTTCACGTTTAATCTTTGGAAAGTTGAGACTTTAATATAACTGGTTGAGTTGTCTAGTTTTAGTTGTCATAGGTTCTTTCGACAATGCAGACCGATCCCTCATATTTATTATAAAATTTATATTGCTGTAATAATCAACTTTTAATAAGTTGCCTATCCAACGCTTCTTTCGTTTAATTAGCAGGAAATCACAGGGTCCATCAGCAAGCTACTTGACGTCCACCCGCCGGAACTCTGCTTTCCCTATCATCCTAATGAGCCCATCCCGTGCTCACTGCACCTAACAAACAATACAGACGAAAATGTGGCATTTAGACTTGTAGACAAGAGCGGCAAATCCCCATGGTGCTTCACAAGGCTGCCCTTGTACGTCAGTGTGCCTCATAGATCCACTTACACTTTGATTGTGACAATGAAAGAGGAGATGAAGCAAAAGGAAAGTACTGACTTTGATCTCGTTATTCAGAGCAGTTTATTGGGAGATAATTACACGTTGGCATTCCAAGACCAATCCGAGTCTGATATTTTTTTTGAGGAAGCCAAAAAGTTTGGGAATATGGTGCATGAGGTGACACTGAAAGCAATTTATGTGCAGTACGGAGAGATCACATCTAAGGTTAGTTGGTTCAACTATAGACAAAACATTTATCTCAATTACTGTTCAGAGAAGAGAGTCGGAGAATTTAGCGATGCACCTTAGAGCAACTCTAGCAGGTTCCATAAAATGGCGCCCTCCAAAATTGTTTAAGAGGACCCTCTAAAACTATTTTAGAGGTTCTCAGGCCCTGTATTTCTCTCATATTCCCAACAACTACAACCTCTATTTTTTCCTCTTTGATTTCTCTTATATGTGCATATGAACTCCATTTCAAGTCCTATTTAACATGAATATGTTTCAAACTTGTATGTTCCCGCGTCACACAATTCAACAACATTTCAATATGGCCGTATGCATCGTCCTGATGCAGAGGCCGGGGGCTTTCCTCCTTTTCCAAAAAAAAAACATTTCAAATGCATAAAACCCCTTTTCTAATTCAAATTTAAACATAACATGGGGTCCTAATGCATGATAAACATACTACTAAACATAGATTGTTCTTTTTTTTTCTTACTCAAACCATGACACTCTACTTCTTGAACTTCTTCAACTTGAACAAGTCAAGAATCCTCTTGTGCTCCTCTCTCGAGCGCATGCTCATCGTCCCTGGTATCGGCCGCGTCCCTTTGAACCCAAAAGGGGTCTTATAGGGATATTATAGAGCGTGGAAAGAGGAGGAGGAGGAGGAAATCTCCATGGCGGCCTGGCCCTTCTGCTTTGCGGACTCAGCAACCTTCTCCTTGTCTATCTTGGCGTTTAGCTCGGTGAGGGTGGTGTCAAGCTTACCTCGCCAGGCCTTGGCCTTGGCGGCGGAAGCGACAATAGCCGCGTTCAATGCCTCCTCCACCGCTCTGGCCTCATCGTCCAGCAAAGCCCAATCGACTCGTTGTTATTGTGCGACATTTGTCGAACACTGTACTCTTACGGTTTAGTTTTCAATGAAAACGGAGTCGGGGGGCTACCCCTGTTGATTCAAAATAATAATTGTCGAACACTTTATAGCCGTCTTAGCTGGTAGGGGAGGGGAACTCACGTGGCGTGAATGGAGCGGTAGGAGGAGGCTGAAGGAGGGCACTGGCGTGGAGCTATACCTGGCCATCCGTCGGGCCGGCCGGGCTTCAGGCCAGGCCTAACAAAGCCTGAGGCAAAAACCTAGGCCCGGGCCTGGCCATTGGGCCTAGTTTTCAGGCCCAAGCCCAGCCCATTAGTGACAAATCCCGTCATGCCTCGGGCCTCGGGCCGGGCCCCTTCCTTAAAATGCGACATATCCAAGCCCAGGCCTAGCCCGGCATGTCCTTCGGGCTCAAAACTCAGGCCCAGGCCCGGCCCATGGGCAAGGTCGGGCCGGGCCGTCCGGGTCGGGCTACCCGTGGCCAGGTATACGTGGAGCATCCGGGTCGGAGATGGTGGCACTGGGTCGGACGGGCACGGGGCCGAGGAGCACGACGCAGGGTCGGCGTCGGGTGACAGCAGCAGCAAGACCCGTTCCGCCAGTTCAAGAAAATAACTATTTTCTTGCTCAGCGGGCTCCGGTTCTCGTTCCCTGGATTCAAGGGCCTGTAGGATCTCCAAATTCTCAACATACAGCCTAACTCAATCATTTTCCTTGCCACACTTGACAAACTTGTGCGAAAATTCTCAACATACAGCCTAACTCAATCATTTTCCTTGCCACACTTGACAAACTTGTGCGAAGTGGGGCTAGGAGTGCGGTGCGTCCTCACCAGGAACTGTGGAGACTACGGCCATGCTTGGATCCAAGGGACTATTTTTAGTCTGACTAAAACTAGTCTTTTTTAGAGGCTAAAGTTCCAATCACCCCTGACTAAAGAGAGGCTAGAACTAGTCTTGAGACTAAAAAAATTTAGTCAAGGGAACCCTACTAAAATGTGGATTAGTCCTCTCTCTCCTTATTTAACTCCTCTCCTTTAACACATGCGAGTTCGGGATTGGAGGGTTTGAACGATAATAAATGCTCATTAACTCATTTTAGTCTATTTAGTCTTTGTATCCAAGCATGGGTGAGGCTAGCAAGTTTTAGTCCCACTACTTTTAGTCATGGGACTAAAACGTATCCAAGCACCCTCTACTTCGTGTTGAAGCTAGCTCGTGTGGGATGGTAATGGGGCGGGTTTGGATGGGTAACATATCCACGACCACAAGCGTGTCCATTGCCCACCCGTAAAAGTATCCATGGGTCATAGATCGTTGTTCATACCCATACCCGCTAGATATCAAGCTATTTTTTTTGGAAAGGCCCAAAACCATATATATTATGATGCACAGGACCTTACAAACACACTCATATAGAAAAATAAAATTACAACGAAACCCTTGGGGATGCCGAAGTCTTCTTCCTCTTGCTTCCACCGGCGGTGCGCCGTGAGCACAGCTCGATGCCGCCTCTGGGCCTCCACCTTGGCAAATCAAACTTTTTGAAACCCAGGAGCTTGTAAAGCAGCGGCCGGGAAGTCATCGATGAAGACTAGGAGACATCGGCGGTCGCGATCTGCAAAGCTAATCGCCGCCCCAGAGAAGAGAAGACCGATAAGGGCCTGTAGAAACTCCGAAGGCCATGAAAGCCGGCCAAATACAGACAAATCCACCAGAGACCTAAACCGATCGGATCTCGGGAGACCCACCGAAGACAGAAAACCACACACCCCCCGTCGGTGATAAGCACATCAACGGAACGAGGATAGCGCGGGGAAGACATTATTCCTAAACTAGGAAAGCGCTGACAACACGTCCCAAACCAAACATGAAGAGACCCTAAAGATAACCTGAGACAAATTACCCACGCCGATGTAAGCCAAGTCCAGATCTGAGATCGAACTCGCCGTCGTCCAGGTCCATGAACCGACGAGGTCCTCTCTGGTGGCCTAGCAAGGCTGGGCCGCTGTAGAAGCTCACCATGTTGAATTCGTGCGGCTACCGCCGGCTTCAGCAACGCCGTTGCCAGGCACCTCATGACGAAGACCTCCACTCGAGCCCTCATCTCCTTCTCCGACCAAAACAGCCCTCTAAGACGTCCAAATCTTCATCCGCAAGCTGCCCCTGAACCGGACCTCCCCGCCGCCGCTGGAGCCGCACAGGCTTTGCTCGGCGACGCGCCCTAGCGACGATGAGAGGGAAAGGAGGCTGGAGGCGGCTAGGTATGGCAATCGCCTTAGCTCCCGCGTGAAGTGTTACGTCCATAGGTATCAAACAGCCCTCTAAGTGTTACGTCCATGTAACAATAAAAATAACAACCATAACAATATATACATGTTAATACCAAAATAATGATAAAAGGTCACTAGACAATACAAATTATCAGTATTGCACACATCACAAGTACAAATGATACGACAAATATGGTCAATACTTAATGGTTGATACGGAATTATAATAGGTTATATGACATGTGTGCTTGTAAAATGGGTATCCATGGAGCAAGTTCTGAATCCATCCAACACATGAGTTTGTGGATATCCACTAGCGGAAACCCATGGGTAGAAAAGGTCCTCCAAATCCTGACCCAATGTGTTGGATATCCATGGATACCTAGATCCATGCATGGATAATATTGCCAACCGTACTCGTGTCTCTGATGATGTATCACTTGGTCTAGGCATGGACTCTCCCACTTTCAGCTTGCGATGGTGAGCGAGTTCCCAATTGTGACGGTTAGGGCATCTCCAAAGGTATTCACCAAATCATGTTTTCTACTTGCCCGCGAATACGTCCGGAGGTGTCCGCGAACATATCTACTTATCTGCAATTGTAGTCATATCTAAGTGCATCTCTTACTTGTCTGCCCCAACTTCCACATAGGTCATCGGTCTAGTTGGGTGAGTGTGGGTCGTGAGGCATACGTGACAGGGGGTTGAAAACAGGTGTTGTTGTGGTATGGCCCACACCGTCCGGTGTCTCCAGCCACGCCATTGGGGAAGAGGGGAAGGGATAGGGAGCCTTTTAGGTGCTCTCTTGCCTTCAGTACGGGCACCGGGCGCATGTGTGTCACAACGCCTAGCGCCCTTTTAACTCACTGGCAAACCCTGCTACACCATCATTGTTTCGCCTCACCACCAAGCATCATCAAGCTCTAGCTCCACGTCATACCAGGATTGGAGCCACACTTCTCTCCAAGGTCATCCTTTGTAATTGCTAGGCGTCGGTCGTTTTTGCTCCCACTAGCTCGACAACCCCATCTAATGTGGCCATGCATTCTGTCTTTGCAATGCACGTCGGA